CCAAACAGACTGAAAACAACAGTGACAACAAAAGTCGTCTCTAGCTAGCATTGTACCTAAAGTGTCTAAAAATTGCCTCAGTTAAAACTACTGAACCAACCCCTTCACTGGTGAAAATACATGAGTCCATTTGTATCAGCAGCATCATTTTATATGACCTAAAGCAAGACTTTATGTCCACCTTGGTTTTGAATTCTGGCCTGGATATTCCTTTCACTGACACTGGTGCATATCAGCAGTAACTTGGCAGAAAGGCACCAGACCCAACTTGTGATCCTGGCCCAACCACTGTTGTTTTGCAGGTATCTTTGCGAGAACGTGTTTAACTGAATTTGCGAATAGGTGGGAGGTCATGTGTTCTAGGCTTTGAACACAGCTCTAAAATTTGGAAATACTTATTCCATCAGTTTTCTCAAAACATTGATAGAAGCAGCAATTCAGAGCAAATGTTTCTCTCTGGTCTTTGTAGAAGCTGGACAGTAAGTGCTTTCAAACAGGAACCGTTATCACTTGCACAGCAGAGGTTCTTGTTCAGTTAGAATTACATGTTTGTTTGTTTGCTTTAAAAAATTAGATTTCCCTTAAAAAGCAATGGTTTAAATTAAGAAAAAAAATATTTATAAAACTTAAAAACCCAGTTCAAGAAGCTGTGCACTTAAAACAAGTTCTAAGGGTTTTAAAAATCCATAAACACCATGGGGTTCTCGCACTCCTAATTATGAATGTTTAGATTTTGGTGTTCATTTCCTCTGATTGAAATACTGCAGGATGAATTATTCATCCAGTATATACAGGGTCATGGAACTTAATCCCCTCCATTTATTTTAAGTGAATGTCATGTTTGTAAAAAGTGCCAGACTGACAGACAAGATTCAACCCTTCTGATAACCTACACTTTGTATCTAAAGCTGTTTAGAAGTAAAAACTCTTGCGGTTAAAATTATTGGGTCAAGTGCTTCACTGATGAAAGTCAGAGATGAAAATCAGGGGGTTTTTTTGAATAGCATAGTTTTAAATCACACAAGGTGAGGTTTTTTTTTCCATCCCCTCCGCTTTAAATTCGGGCCAGAGGAGGCATCTGGCTGCTTTGCAGGTACAGCTCAAACCTCCCCTGAAGCAGAACGGCTCTCCATGCTGGGCCAGTCCTTACCCATCCCAGTGCCGCCTGCTTGGCTGAAGGCACCTAGTGGCATCCACATCATCATGTCTTTGAGCGGTGAAGCTTTGTAGCTCTGGAACAAAAATAAGAATGATTCATTAATTCGGCAAGGCAGCGACAACAGCTGTCCCGCATTGGTGGTCTCTGACAGGTCGCAACCGGTGATCCCTACACAACTGCCTCCACCTCCTGCCCTCAGTAGTTAGGGCAAGATCTTTCTTGCATTCAAAATAGACACTGTAAAAACAACAGTTATCGGAGCTGTAATTCAAGTAAAGAGAGGGTGGGTAAAAGGGTTGTTCTGTTATAAATTAGGATAGGTATGCTTTTAAATTAAGCTTTTACAAAAACTAGTGAATCTTTAGGCAAGTCCCATCTGTTTTATCAATAACAACCCAAGTAGCACCTCCAGTGTAATTCAGTGACAAACTAGGGCTTCTCCAACAATTATAGTTCAGAGACTTTCATTTTACTTTGTGCCATAAGACCATACTAAGGAAAGCCACACAATGATAAACAGAAGTAGGGGAACATACATATGATTGTATTAAATATTTATCAACAATGTCTGCATTAATGTGAGCTGTTCAGGAGCTCAGATTTGCCCCAAATCATGCAAAAAGTGATTAGTTTCTGGCTGCTGAGAAACCCCTGGCAGCCTGGTCTGTAGGAGCTGCGGGAGGCCAGGACATGGGCTCGAGCATCGGTGGCACAACAAAGAGGTGGCTTGTTGGCACATTGCCTGGCACAGATCTAGCCCGTGCCCGTTAGCACACGGCCAGACACTGCCCCAGCACAGGGTCGGGCAGGGCATGGCCCAGGGACCCTGCCTGACAGGCTGTGTGGAGGAGGACATGCTGTTTCTAGCAGAAGAGAGGTGAACTGTGCAGCTGGGAATTCCATGGCGCTGCTCATCCTCAGGGCCAAAGAATTGGCCCTGGTCTGTTTTATTTACATGTGCAGACACAGTCATCCCCTCCAAGGAATTTTTTGCCTGGACACAGCATTGGACATAGCAGGAAGTAATTTCTTGAGGAGCAAAAGTTGCCTTTCTCTACCCATGCACTTGTGGCCTGTGATGGTGGGGTGAGGAGAGGTGCTTGGCAAAGTGATTGCATCAAGCAGTATTTCACCTTGGCATAATGCAGCGCTATGCACAACTTTGAAGGATGCATTAACAGTCTTATTCTTCCTCAGATGAGAGGCTGTTAGAGCATCTGCCTTTTCTAAAGACCTCTGAGAGGAAGTGCCAGCAGTTGGAGAGCATCCTACAGCATGGCAGTCTGTACAGCATATGGAAAACATTTTTTCTGTGGTAAAGGAGGGCTCTGGCTCTTCCCAGAGCCACACGTGGTAGAGGGGAGCAGTGACAACACAGGACGCTGGAGGGACATGCGCCTCCTCTGCAACCTGGGAGGAAACCTTTCAAAAGCACAGCCAAGGGTTCATGGGACATGACCACTTATAGCGAGGAATCCTACTTAAAATGGGGCTTCCAGGCATAGCCTTGAGCCAGCTGCTTCGTACCAGCCTGCTTGGGAGTGGGCAAGCCTGGAGGAGCAGGGTGGCCTCACAGAGTCCAAAAAAACCTCTTCTGAGCTTCAGAGGCTGGAGGTTTCTGCTCAATGGCTATGAGACTCTTCAGGGACTTGCCCAGGTCTTTTCTCCTTCCAGCACCCCTTCAGGGTTTCTGTACTTCTCTGTGCAGCGTACCTTCGGGTTGTGGCTCTTGATGTCCCAGTGTTACAGCCTGGCTCAAATGGCTCTAGTGCCTCTGTGTAAAGCTTTTTGTTGCTGTTTGTTAGAAAAAAACAGAGGTGCTCGTTCTTGTTTCGCATTCTTCTGAAAGGCACTTTACATGTTGGAAGAGGCAGGGAGCTTGGAGAACAGCAGCTTTTTAGGGCCTGTCATGCTTTTTACTTTCTAGTAAATTCAGTGAAATAATTTTCCATGTGATTTAAGAAGTGTACTAATTTACAGTGCAATTATTTGAGGGTTTGTATTAATTAGTATTGTTGCAAACACTGATACTTAGAGCTGAGGCTAAAGTGTAATTCTGAGACACAGTAGGGGACGTGTAATTGGAGTTGAAGGTCAGGTCACATATTTGGATTTTCAAAAGAATAAGGCAAGTTCAGCTTCAACACAGTGTTTATGGATTTGGAATGACAATTATGTTGCTGCTGCAGCTGTATGTTTTGTACTAATTGATATACCTATTGGAGGCTTGTGACTGGGATCCCGTCAGTGTCTCCTGCTGGTTTAGATTGCTGTACACATTTATATTGACTCCAGCAGGATTACTGCTTGGTTTCCCAAGTGGCAATGAGAGGATAGTCCAGCCAGTGGCATTGTGTGTTAAATGGGTAGGCAACTCACGAGCCTGAAACCAGGCCAGTGCCATTTATGGAGGTAAATACTGGAAATTTAGGCAGGTGCAATCCAGGCAGGAATTGAACAAGTGAAATGTTAACATCATGTGAAGTTTTAGCAGAAGCAAAAGTCTGTTTCTTTTCTTAACTCTGCACTATCCAGGTTAGGTCCAGTTCTACCAGGTGATTAAAAATGGCAGATGCTGAATCGATACCTGTTCCTTCATATTCAGATAGGAAACATTTCTGGGAAAAAATACCACCCCAAATCCTAAAACATAAACACTACACAAATTGAAACTTAAGCAAGATTAATGATCTTGGTTTGTACCTGTTCTGCTGAAGAAGCATTTACAGGGTGTGAAATAAACCACCAAACACTTTTTATTTAAATAAGGAGTCATTCATTGTGAAATACTATCGGGGCAGACTGAAGGACTCTCCCTTCTCTATTTAAATAGAAACCTTCTCCCCAGTCTACAGAAGGACCTAGGAAAATAGCTCACAGGAAAGGACCCAGCCCGCAATTGTTTTGTGCACAGAAGCCTTATTGAAACCAGGAGAAGCTGTGAGCAAAGAACATTTGCAAGGTTATATCCCCAAGTACCTAGAAAACAGATTTTTAAAAGACATCATCAATAATAATAATACTACTATTACTATAGTTCTGACTCATGCTCTGAGCAAACAGTTACGAAAGAGTTCAAGATGTCCCCACCTCCCCCAGATGCTCGTTACCTCTCCGCTCCAGGGAACGTTGCTTCGGGATCCACGCCTGCACCTGCCCGCTGCAGCTCAGGGCTGAGCCCACCCTCCTTCGGGGCTGGGGTGGGTGAGGCGCTGGGATGGGACCATCTCTCCTGCCGCTGGTATGGCCGTGGCCACTGCACACCCAGCTTAAACGGCCACAGCACTACCTGCCAGAGCCTGGCCACAGTGGCCAACACCCCATGCGAAAATGGGGAAGGCTGGGTAAATATTACAGCCCACCTACTCCAACCCGTAGGACTCATTGCCAAGAGGATGAAGGTGCTCAGTGAGAGAGATGGGACAAACTCACCACAAATACCGCCCGCAGTAGCTCTCAAATGTAAGGATTAGATGCAACCACGTGCTTAAGGAGTCCATGAACATCACCCCGGGGGAAGGCAGGCAGGCATACGGGGGGACTTGGCGGTTCCTGCCCTGCTCTCAGTGTGTGTTCCCTAAACATCTGCTGCTGCTCCCTGTCTGGGACAGGCTGCTGGGAGAGGTGTGCAGGGCTGATGTGAGGTAGCTGGTCTTACAAGCAAAGCACAAGGAGGCCACTGTGCCCCTGAAATCCAGGGAAGTGGTTATGGGTGGCTCTCTGGGTGTCCCCACTGGCCCTGGCCCTCGTACAAAGCCCCAGCAGCACCCAAGGGCAGCTTCTTTTACAGCAGATCCGCTGTGTCTTACTCTCTTAGAAACGTTTTTCCCTTTCCTTTCAGGCACCCAACGGCCTCCCAGCCGTCAGCAGTTTCGTGTCAGCACCAGCCATGCCTCCCTACGCCACACCAGCCCAAGTGTCACCTTACATGACGTACAGCGCTGCCCCGTCCGGCTACATGGCGAGCCACGGCTGGCAGCACGCTGGAGGCACCCCGCTGTCCCCTCACGGCTGCGACATCCCCGCCTCGCTGGCGTTCAAGGGCATGCAGACGGCCAGGGAGGGCAGCCACTCCGTCACGGCCTCTGCTCTCTGATGCAGGAGCCGGCCCAGGCCCACCACGAGCCCGCTGGCTGGTCGCCCCCTGAGCCTGGCTCAAGGCTGCTCTCTTTGTGCCAGCGATAACCTGGCATTTCTCCTCGTGACTTGTCTCCTGCCAGGCTTTTGGGATTGAAAGAGCTGAAGACAACATCAGAAACTGAGGGAAGTGTGGTGCTGCGCTCTTTAAGTAAAGACCTTGTGTCCCTCAAAGGGCTCGTGGAGCCTTGTCCCACTCTCTCCTGGTCAAACCACATGTATTTATTCTTAATCATCACAGACTTTCTAAATGTGCAATTGTTATTAAGATTTGTGTAAAAATCAATAAAGAAAAATCACCACAGAAAATTCTGCTATGCCTCGAATCAGCAAAGGCGGTTAAATGGGAGGCGTTTGCCGATTGCCTAGAGAACAACCCTTTCATCGACGAGGTTATACAATCCACCACTATTGAGAGATCACTTTTTGGTTGTTTTGCTGGGTTTTGGTAAGCAAATACAGAACCAAGGCAATAGACGGCTCTCAGATTCTTCTGGCATGTTGCCATTGCCAGGCAGTAGTAATACCTTTGTGTTTTTAGCCATTTGTAAATATAGGCTTTTGACAGCATTTGTTTTCACCTTCCAGTACATTTATTTCTACTTTTTTTTTTTTTTTTGAAGTTAAAAAGGTGACTTTCTAGCTATTTTATGTGTCTTTGCATGGTGGGGTGATAGCTTCAGGTGATGACGTTTAGGTAAGGTTTTTTTTCATCATGTTTTTGTGCCTACAGTGGAGGCTTCAACATCTCATGAAATACAGTTATCTCTTTAGCAGAAGATTCAAAGGCAGAAATCCAGCCAAGTAACTCTCCCCAGCTATACCCAGCCTCCCAGATTCATGAAACACCACATTCTTGTTAAGGGTACAAACAGAAATGGGTGGAAAATATCTGAACAAAACTGAAAACTGTAGCGGAAAATGCTGTTAGTGTGCAACCTGTGCAGAGATGCTTACAAAGCCTTGTCAGTCAACAACCCACTGAGAAACAGAATTGTACCGTCATTGTCGGCTCACTTGTGTCCGGCAGTTTCGGCCCCAAGACGATGTAATTTTTTTAAGAGGAAGTTGTCTTTAATTTCTGCTTTAATGAATGTAAAATATGGCTCTTGGTAAAGTTTACATTGTTGTTCTGAAGCATTTTTTTCCCTTATAGGTATACTGGTGGTGGTGCTACAAACACAGATATTATTTAATATTAACAAATTCCCTTTCTACATTTCTGTATCCAGTGGCAAGTACTCTGTGCCAGTTATTTTTGCTTTAAACTTTAATCCCAAGAGAGCTAACGTTCTGATCTTTGAAAATTTACCTGTTTTCCTTGGGCAACAATAAAGTTCTGACTGTTATTCCAGAATGCTTTCCACATGCTGTAGGTATGTTCAGAATATGAACGTGGAAAAAAAAAAAATTAAGCCTGGTGTGACATTTCATATACTTCATAGAATATTAATATATTGTGTATTTTTATAAATGTTGTGCAATAACTTAAGTTACACTAGAGAGAGTTAAAGCAGAGGAGAAAAATTCATTCTTCAAATATTGCTCTATCTGCATACCATATTAAACATTCATTCAGTGGGAAGGTAAAATACAGTCGCCTCTTAAAATACAGTCTTCTCTTTGTCGATATCCAGCTCTCATCACTGAGACAGCTGTGGGTAAATTTTCGTAATAATCTAAGTAACCAGTACATATATTGTGCACAATATATCCACTGAAATACAGATGGACTCAACTGGCTGCTGCCACCTTTGCTTTTTGCATTAAAAAATAGTTAACGGAACTGTATTTCTATAAAGAACACAGGTATTGTATTATGGCCCTAAGGAAAGAAAGATCTGATCTCGGATGTGATCCCGTATTCTTCAGCCTCAAAGGCATTCAGCAGCTGCTTAGCTTTAATGAGATGCTGAAACCCTTGTTATTCAGTAGAACACTTTTTAAAGAATGTTTCTTTGAAACCACTAAAGGTAGCGTGCACACAAGTGCATTTCCACTCTGCCATGCTGTTAGTGACGTGATGGATGTTACTCTGCCTTTATGCAGTTGTAGCTGAAGTAAGGTGAGCCTTAACACCATGAAAAAGAAGTTGGTTTAATTCTAGACAAGCTCTACCCTAAAAATAAAATGGAGAAAAAGAACAAGAAGAAAAAGATCATGAGTCAATAAATGACTAAGTTGGCAACAGGATTTTAGCTTTCAGCCTAGTTGTTTTACTGGATTACAGAGTCATTGAGTAAGTCTACCTATTGTTACCCATACAGCATAAAGAAGGTACATCAAAGGAAAAAAAAAAAAAAGCCAAACCCCAGAAGAAGAGAAACCTTCTGTAGCACAACTTTTTGAGCTCCAAGGATTCACAAGCCTGTAACAAAGTGCACCTATGTTAAAAGTTTTCAAAATTTTCCCAAGCCGCAAGAGGTCATTTCTGGAATAAAAGTAATCTTTTCTGGCATTCCCATGAGGCATTAGTGTGTTTTGGGAGATACTTACAGAGACAGATCTTTAGCTTGTATCAGTTGTTTGCATTATCTTGTCTTCAGCTAAATTGGGATAATTTATAAAGCAAGGACAAGACATGATGTTAATTATTCCTCACATGGGACTACACCATCATGAACCATTTTTGTTTTGTGTTTGTTTAGGTACAGCTCTTCGCGCATCTGCCTGCTGTATAGAATACCTTACCCCCAAGTGGAAAGTCAGTGGGGCTCTGCGCAGAAAGTGTTGCTCAGAGTGAGCAAAGGTACCTGACCTTGGCTCTTGGTGAACTGCCTGTGATGGATTTCTTTGGTGTGAAATTTCATAACAATTTTTTTTTTAAAATGTAAACCTATGATGCAGAATACTCCTTTGCCCAAGGAATTTTTTCCCTGCTTATGCTCATGGGTAAACTGAAAAAGACAACATTAGCTTATTAGCCACACAACTTTAAGCAACTTTACAATAAACAAAGGAGGAAACGGGATTTGTTTGTTTTTTTTTTTTTTTAAAATAATAAACAACTGTCAACTGCTGCTGTCAGGTACAGGGGTATAAATCTGGAGTGAACCCACTGAGGTGAATGGATTAATTTGGGAAATATGCAGTATATGTGAGTGTAGAATTTACGTTTTTCATCTGAAAAGCCTACCCTCCATTCCCAGAGTGTCAAATGTTTTCAAAGAAATCAACGAAGCCTAACACTCCCTTCTATGACAGCCCCACTATGTTTGCATGGTCCCAGTACAGAAGGCCTCCAGTGTAGAACTGCATCAGACCCCATATTACACCAGGAGTGATGGGGGATTGGGCTGGCACATTCATGGGTTTGTTTTCTAAAATAATGCTGTGTTTTCTGCTTTCTAGTGGTTTTCTTCTTATCAAAGATCAGGCTGAGCTATTAACCGGAAAAATCGTGTTGGAAAGGATGTAAAACCGAAGGCTATATATGTATATACAGTACGTTTAAAGCTTTTTATTTTTATATTTTCAATGCTCTAAATTAATAAAAGTCTAATTATAAAGCATTTTGTTTTTAATTCTCAAAACTATCTTAGTAGTGTCTTCTCTTTGGCTAAGTACCAATAACAAAATGCAACAAGGAACACTTGCCTTAAAGTTATAAACTGTAACAGAGCTAATTTTATTGATTTTAGCTATGAAGTAGCATAGGTATGAGAATTTGCTGTTGTCAGATTTAGACAATAGAGAGGTTTATTGAGCATGTCAGTACAAGCATCCTTGAAAGCGCTAAGAATGCATTTCTATTTTTAGCTTTTTGTTGCTTTTCTAATGCATTAAAACCACTCATGAGACGAGACTTCACATGTGAACTGTCATTTTCAAGTAACAGTCTGGAAAGGTATTTCTTTAGGATTGCTGGGAAAAAGGTTTGTACCTCCTTAAGAGGAAGAACATTTAAAGTTAACAGTGTGAATGTAGGATGGGGTGATAGACACTTTCAGCAATTGCAAGATGTGCATTCCTTTGACAACAAACCAAGTTTACATGATGGAACATTTTTATAACAGAATAATGTGTAATTTTAAGTTATTTAAAGAGTTCTTGAAACTGTAGAGTGGCACAACTGCATGACCTGAAACTGTCTTCACTCAGCACAGCAGAAACTATTGCATTTCACAGAGCTAGTTAGAATGGCTAGTAAAGACAGGAGTACATCACTGAAATACTATTTATATTTACAGTCACTGGGAAATGCAACAATTTTAGCTTTAGAGCAACATTTTTTATCTATAGAAAGGTGCATTTCTTTGAGGTGCATGGGTAGCTAATTATGACTGCATATGTGCTAACAGTCTAGAACATTGTTTCTCCATCTCATGGTGGTAATGAAAGGGTAAAAGGGCAGTTAAGGTGCATTGAACATTTTTAACACAGGACAGCTCTTTAAGCAATAATGTATGAAGGCAGATAAAAAATTCACAGCAAAATCTCATATGCCTAAAAGTAATTTTTTTTGTTAATTTATTTACTCATTTCTTCTATGAATCCCACAGTTGTTTTGCACTTTTATGTACTTGATTCAGACTAATTATTTTCAGTATCTTCTGTGACCTGAGTGAGATTTATATGACATACATGGCTAAGAACGAGTAGAACATTTAACAGTATCTGTGTTTTTAAGGCTGTGGCTAGTCATGCTGTCCTTTTTCTATCCTAACTCTCAACAACTTCAGAAGCTCTTCTATCAATATTGAAATCATACTGGACTGAATTGAAACTGGACCCAAGACTGACACAAGAGTTTGCAGAGTATGGGTCATGTTCTTAACCTGGAGTCAATGGAGCTGTCAGTTTACACTAGCTTAGTAGCTGGCCCCACAGGATTATTCCATTTTTTTCTTCAAAATCCCCTGAAAATTATTATCTTGCCATTTCAGCTGAAAATTTTTAAAAAAGTGTACTGACTACATAGTATAATTCAGTGTCCAGAATTGTCAGTTTGTCCTTGAA